CCAGGCATGGGGACCAGCCAAGGTGTTTAAAAGCACTGTGCCACCACAATAAACTGCATATATGGGGATACCTACGGACCAGTCAGGTATCAGAACACCTATCCAATCAACATGAGCTGCTTGGCACTGGTCAGAGTAAATTGTATTCTTTCCCTCACAGGCACAAAGAATGAGGGAAGAAGGCTGTCAAGCCTGTACGCAGAAAGTTAAAATGCAGGAAAATTCTCTGAAGGGGAAGAATTTGAAGATCCGTAAGAGAACACCTATTAAAATCCCACTCTGACCCTCTCTAAACTATCCCCATTGAAGTGATGAGGCAAATTAGGCCCACAGGCGCTTGTATTTAGGGTGGGCTGAGAGGAAGAAGAGCCCATATGTGAACACTTAAGGTCCCTGACATGCCAATCCATAAATCATTTCAGGGGAAGCCTGTCACCCTCCATCTTCTGCTTTGCCTTTTAAATGGATCCAACACCCCAACACCCCATTCTCTTCAGAGGAGAAAGTGGGGGTGGAGGACACACACAGAACAAAGACTGGTGACTTTCTCTTCCCCTACTAAGGACAGAGGTAGTAAAAATATCTGCATTGAAATCTTCACTCACTTTAAAATATTAAACTGCAAACAGGTAGACAGAATGATAATGTTTGAGAGGCCCTAAATCTACACAAAGGTGTGCCTATTTAAGACAGCATGGAAATGAATCTATTAAAGAAAGGCTAAGTGAGTGAGTGACTGCGTTCACATGTGCTTTCATTTTTAAAGCTACACGTATTTAGGGGTTGCATCTTTTAAAGAATTTTCTGGATAGCAGGAGAAGTTCTACTTTTTGTTCATCTACTAAGACATGCTTTCAAATAAAGGAATAGATTTCTAGTCATTGAAGAACATACACACAAATCACATACAAAAGTAAAATAAAAGCCAGCTATTTTATCCTTTCAGCATGGTTACCAAGGCTCCTTTGTGTCTACAAATTTCTCAGGGTGGTGCTGTTGCCAAGAAATTCTAATTCATGACAAGTTTCTCAATAAATTGCGGACAGTGGCAAACCTGCAGAGGGACAGACTCTACAGTTTGCTTTGTCTTTCTGGCTGAGACAGCACCTGGCTGCTCAGGCCTCTGGAAAGCAGAAAAGCAGGATCATATAGAAGAAAAAGCCATGTGGTTGACTGACCCAATCCTCTCTCCCTGGTACCATGAGGTGTTCTTAGAAGCCAATGATTTCTGAGGGTTTTCCCCTAGAGATGCCTCTTAAGACCCTCATAAAAAGTGCTTCAGGGTGCCTGAAACCAGGATGAAACTGCAGTGTTACGGGGACACTTTAGTCTTTACAGTAGCCAAGTATGCCATTAGTTTAAAACAATGGGGAATGGAGGAGGGAGGAATGTTCTATGATTTATTTATTTGTTTCCAGTAGCAGTGGAAAATTTTCTCCAAGCAAAATGGAGGCCTGAAACTGACCCCATCTGCCAATTATGAATCAGCATTAGCAATGAGCATAATTCCATAAGAGTTCTCAAGTAAACATGCCACGCTCCTCAATGACATGAAGCAAAGTGAATTCCAAATAAGCCTTAAGAGCATCATTACTTGACCGGTACTCATGAAATACCAGGCTAGTTATAATGGATGTACAAAAACTCCCAAGGCTTTTTCCCCCAGTCGGGAAGAAAATAACTATGAGTATCATATCAAATCCTTTTTGTTTTCCAAGTCAGTGGTGTGTCCAAAGAGTCATAACTTCTATTGGCAACAAAAGTCATGAATGGGTCTCCCCTTAAGCTATCAGCAAATATTACCCTACAGTCTTCTCCAGCTCCTGTCCTACCCTTGCCTTTTTCCTACTTTGCTCAGACAGCTCTTGGAAAATTTCCTGCAAGTTTCCAAAGATCTCAAGGCTAGTAGCCTTAATAGTTGTGTCAGCTGAATTCCATAAAATAATAGACCACATAAGCACAGTGTAATTTACAGTTATATGACAGGCAGAGATGATGTTACTTGGGCCAAGTGCTTAAGTATGCAGTCAGAGTCCAGGAATGGAGTGCTGTTAATGTGGGATGTCCATTTGGGCTTTAAAATTATAACAGCAATGATTTGGGGAGTTGGAGCTGCATCACTGCCTGAAAACCCAGTGTCAAAATGATGATCTCCATGACAGGAGGTGGCTCTGTCACAATCAGTGACTCTGTTGTAAGCTCAATGACACAGAAAATTATCTCATATCGTAAGTTTGAACTAGAATCCCCAAATACTACATCCTTAATTTTCAAATGCACAGATGTTCTTGGGTTTATCATCCAAGCCACTCATTCTCTAGGAAATCAGAGGATTGCAATCTGAGTTTTCACCCTTCTCCCTGAGGCCAGGTATATTTTCACTTTGAGAAGGTCTCATAATTACTCCTCATTTGACCTCTAAAATCTGATTACCCTGCAGCATCAGACAACTTCCTCCAGCCTGTGTTTCTCCGTAGTAATATTCTTGAGCTGTTTTGAGCAAAGCAGTCTCCAAATTTCACCACTGAACGGTTGATTTGGAACCAATAGTTGTATATAACCATTACCCCTTCAACTCAAAAGTATCGAAGAGGGGTGGGTGTGGGAATAAGGAAGAGATATGGGCTAGAGGTTTTGGCATCAGCACGAACTTAGGGTCCTGGCTACCTTTATATAGAGCAGTCGTGACTACAGAGCCCACAGCAGAAAGCTCCTTGGAGTGACATGTTGTTTGTAAGTGCTTGCCACAAGTTTTATTTCCTATGGACCATGAATGTGTAGCTCTCAAATAACCTGGTAAAGGGTTTTAAGGCAAGAGCGGTCTGCAGTTAGAGAGCGTTAAGGCTAGAAATAAGGAAGAGGTTAAGAGGAGAATAATTCCTCTGCCTGCAGATAGAAAGTAAGCTTGGGGTTCCTTGAGTGGGCAGGAGGGGGAGGGAAGTGGAGGAGGAGGGAAGAAGGAAGAGCGGAGCTGGCTTCTGGGGAAACAAAAGATCTAATACATTCCCTAATTGTCAAAGTACTGAGGTGCCTTCGCAGACCTAGAGTTTCTCCTGGATGGTCTAGCCACATCTAGAAAGGCAGGTTTCCTCTGCAGAGAGGCCTTCCCGCAAAGCAGGCTTTACTACTGTGAAAACTTGAACCAAAACAAAGTTGTGTGATTCATCAGGAGGGAACGCTGTAACAAATAAAGCCAACTTTCTTCCCTCCAACACTGCTGAACAGTTAGTCACAAACAAGGACTGCCTCGAGCAGGCTGACTAAATCAACAGATTCTCTTCCCTAACCTGTCTAGACAGTTGTTAATATGCAACTGATTCAACACCAATCGGCTGACAGTGCAAAATGAAAGCTACTTAGAAAATGAAATTCTGGCAACATTTTGGTTTAGCACGCAAAATAAAAGGAGAGAAATAGAGCCAGTGAGACCCTTCATGAGATAGTCATGTTAAGGATGGGGGACAGGAAGTACTGAATTAATGCTTTATGCAAAAGAAAAAAAAAGTGTTTAGAGAGAGTCAAGAGTATCCACCAACATCTGTGGACAGGACTGCTTGTGTGAACACACAGGCACAAGAGGCCAATACCTGCAGGAAAACTAGTAGCTTCTAGTAACAACTAGTAACAATGGTGATCAGCTTCGCCACGGGGCTCCTTATTTCAAAAGTCAAACCTCTCCCACTAGAGCAGCAACTGTTACATCCCAGCCTCGAGCAGGCAAATCCTGCTTTAGATCCTGGCAGAGGAAATTCAGCCGTTCATTAGCCTTAACAAGCTGCCGTCACTGAGCAGAGAAGTTACAGGGGCAGCCACACACTGAGCCTCTCTTACAGCCTTCCCCAAGGGCAAGCATGTTTCTTCAGGGCGGACTGCGCAAGTTCACACTTCCGATGTGCAAATCCAGAATGTCTTCCTGGACTTTCCATGGTGCACACCATGGAGTTTTTAAAGACCCATGTCCCCCGCCCCCACCCACCACCATCTTCCCTGCAGAACGTCCCCCTCATCGCTGCTGAAAAAAACCACTGTTCCCGCAGCAGACCCAGCACTTTCCACTGACCAGCACTTTCTTTATTCCACTTCACAAAGCCCCGTGAACTTGTTCCCCGCCCCTCTGCACCCTGCTCGGGACGCCTACCCAACTTGGCACAGCACCCTTTAGCATCCTAGGAGTTTCTTAACTAGTCCTCCGGCGTCCAAGTCAGAGGATGGAAGCACGTATCACCCTTTGTTTGAGGTTGTGCTAACTGAAGAGGGACCCCCCAAAAAAACAGAGAGAGAGAGACAGAGAGAGGGAGATAGACAGAAACAAGGACACACAGAGAGGGTGTTTTCCTCCTGGAGGCATTCCACTGGGGAAACCTACAATGCTTTGTCAGACTAAGATAGACACATCTTCCCGTCCTCCTTGTATGTAGATAGATATCCTTGGGTAGCTTTTGTCATTGGGTTCTTTTCTCTTTCCCCACCTCTAATCTCAAAATCAAGCTCCTATTCTTTACTGACACTCCTTAATTACTGGGAAAACACTTCGCTTTGCTCCCGCCCCCCCCCATTTGCCCGTTGTCAGGACCAGTTGAAACAGATGAACCTGATTTAAGGTACCAGGTAGGTAGAGTTCCTGCATGTAGGGATGAGGTATGGTAAAGATCCAAACCCGTCTTCCCACCGGGCTCCTCCGAGCCCCAGAAGTTGAGCAGGTCTCTGCTGGGGGACAGTGAGCCTAAGACGTGTGCGCAAGGATGTGTGTTGGTGACTGAGACTCGGGCAGCTCAGATCTGGCTGCTCAGCAAGGCAAGACTAAGGGGTTAGGGGTGGGTGGAGAGGTAAAACACCTATGACTGTATCAGAAAACATTTTAAGCAACATAGAGCCAAAAAGGAAAACATAAATAAATAAAAACAAACCAAAAAAAATTTTCAACCCAAAGCCCACACCAATGCAGCCCCTGCGTCTCCGCCGCCACCACACGATTTACACAAGTAATTTAAATCATTCACCTGCTGCCAGGTCTCCTCCAGGGACGGCAAAGCTGAGAAGTAGCCGGTGTCGTGGACAAGTTGTAGCTCCTGGAATATACTATAACTAGCCAACACGTCCATGCTGCTGCGGCCGGGCAACGCGGGACGACAAGCCCTCCCCCGAGCACAGTGGGGTCTGTTTGTCTGTCAGTCTGTCTGGCTTACCCCCCAAGAAGGCAGACATCCAGTGGCCCTTTTGTTTTGTTTTGTTTCAGTCAACTAAAAAGGAAAAAAAAAAATCAATGCAGGAGCGAGGGCGCGAGGTGCGAGAGGAGCGAGTGAGTGGGGTGGATGGAGAGGCATCCAGCGTGTACAATGCAGCTGACTGCCAGGAAGAGGGGACTTCACGGGAGTCACAATTCCCTTCCAGCTCTAATCACTCCAGCTCGTGGATCAGGAAGGGGACGCAAACTCACTGACACGAAGCTGCCATCTATTTCTGCAGCGCTGTTCGCTCCTAATGCAATCTTTGCTCTTTATTTTGGGAGGTTGCATTTTTTTTTTCTCGCGATCGCTTCTCTCCCCCACCCCTTTCCTTCCCTCCCCACCCCCCACCCCATCCTTGCTAGTTTGTAGTCCCCCCTCCCCTTTTCTCCTCCTCCTGCTCTTCCCCCTCCCCAAACTCCCTCCCTCCGCCCGGCTCTCCGCGCAGCCGTGGGATCTCGGAGGAGGGCACCCATTAGGCCGCCTGTGACCATGTAAGGTAAACAGGGGGCTCATGAAGTCACTGAGGACCAATGGGGAACTCGGAGCTGGCTCGGGGGCGGAGCTTAGCCCCGCCGGCGGCCACAGATTGGCTCTCTGTGGATCTCCCTGCTGCCATACAAGGCGGCGCGAGGCGAGCTATTTTTAGAGGGCTATATAAAGGGGCTGAGGCGGCCACCCGGCGGTCGGGGAGCGCTAGCGCCGGGGAGGGCTGCGTGGTACTCGCGCCGGCTCCCGGGACGCTCGGGCTCGGGCTCGGGCAGCGTGCGGGCCTCCGACCCTCGCTCTGGTGCCTGGCGGAGCCCGGCTGGAGGAGCCGGGC